CACATAGCAGCTGGTGGGTTTGAACAGCTGACTTTGCGGTTAGCAGTCCAGTGCATATTCTACTGCTTCACCAGACAGAGCTCCTTTAAAGACTTGGTTGTTGTCAAGTGCCATCGAGTCGGTTCAGGCTCACAGTGATCCTCTATAGGGTTTCCAAGTAGGGACTGGTGGGTTGAAACCACTGACCTTGTGGTTAGCAGTTCAGGTGCCACAACAGGACTCCCTAAAGACGTCATTGTTGTTATGAAATGGTGTCAAGTGCATTCTGAGTCATAGCGACCCTGTATAGAGTTTCCAAGGAGTGCCTGCTGATCTTGCGTTTAGCAGTTCAGCGCTTATCCTACATTGCCACACCAGAACTCCAAAGATGTCAAAAGGAACTTTAAATTCAATCAGTTTACTTTAAGGGAAAGATACTGGTGATAGATGCAGTTGTTGTACGCAGGCCAGAGGAATTTGGCTTCAAGATCTAAAACGCAGTGACTTTACTTTCAAACTCTGATCCAATGCTTGTGACTGTCCCTGGTTTGAAGCAAGTGTAGCTAAGGGGGAGACTAAAAAACATGGATGTTTTTCTCTCAGAACCCAAGGTTGTGTGGCATGATGAGCAGGTATAGATGAGTAAACTAGAGGGTCTTCTAGCATCGCTCCTTGTGGACTCACTGGGCCAAGCCCAGTACTGAACAGCGATTTCTAGACTGCTGGTACCTACAGCACTGGAGAAAGGAAAGGTCTAAGCTCACACCTTAAATGCTATTCTGAATTTTTGGCTTTTGAGAAGTCATGCTGCAAGGAAAACAAATTCTATTGGGATGTAATCTTTTCAATACATAACAACTGCTAGTGTCAGTTAGGTGAGCATCTCAGGTCTACTTACTGCAAGCATTTACTCTTCAACAGAGAGCAAGATGATTCAGAAAACATTACATAGTTGTCAAGCTCTACTGTTAATTAGAAGGCACTCTGGTAGCATAGTGGTTATGAATCGGGCTGCGAACCTTAAGGTCAGTGGTTCGAAACTACCAGCTGCTCCGCGGGAGAAAGATGAGGCTTTCTACTCCCGTAAAGATTTATACCCTCGGAAACCCTGTACAGGGTCGCTATGGGTTGGAACCGACTCGATGGCACTTAACAACAACAACAACAACTGTTAATTAGAAGGCACTCTGGTAGCATAGTGGTTATGAATTGGGTTGCTAATCTCACGGTCAGCAGTTCGAAACTACCAGCTGTTCTATGAGATAAAGAGGAGGCTTTCTGCTCCCATAAAGATTTACAGCCTCAGAAAACCTATTCAGGGTTGCTATGAGTCAGAACCGACTCCACGGCACATAACTGCCAAATGTAATTTCTGGTGCTGCGGGTTATTGCGCTGGACTGCTAAGTCATTTGAACCACAAAGTTGGTAGTTCAAGCTCACCAGCTGCTCCTCAGAAACCCTACACAGGGTCACTATGGGTTGGAACTGACTCGACAGCGTTTGACAACAACTATTAACTAGAAGGAGCTCTGCTAATGTAGTGGTTATGAATTGGACTGTTAACCTCAAGGTTAGCAGTTTGAAACTACCAGCCATTCTGTGGGAGAAAGATGAAGATTTCTGCTCCTGTAAAATATTTACACCCTATGCAGGGTTGTTATGAGTCGGAACCAACTTCACAGTACACCACCACCATTAACTAGAATACAGTTAAACCTGGAAGCATATTTGACCTATGCAAACTACCTCTCTAGCAAATAGCACCATGAGATGAGTGAGTGTCAAGGTCTATGTGGAAAACTGAAATCTCAGTCAGATACAATCAAAAACCAATGCAGTTTCAGTTCCATTGTCCAACAAACCGAGAAAGAAATCAACCAGAGGTTTACTCAGACAGTGAGTTTCTTTTGAAATTATGATAACTTTTGTGAGAGGATAAGAATAGAAAGCTGAGGTTTACTTATGAGAAATAGAAGGAGTCAGTAATTTGTGAAGTGCCCATTTAGATCCAGGAACAATTTAAAAGTTTTGTTCTAGACTATTACTTTTTATTTATAACTTTTTATTGTGAATTGAGTGAAGGTTGACAGACAAGATCATCAACTCTACATTAAAAAAACATTCACTTTGTTTCATCTCAATGATTACAATCTCTTCCATACAACAACAGTCATTCACTTCCTCCCCGTGGCTCCCATTTCGCTGCCACCAGGCTTCTTGCCATTTTCCTTAGGTACATGTTGCCCCTTTGATTTTGAACGATTGGTTGTTCTATCGTTCATAGTGAGTATGTCATAATAGTACTGTTGTTCCTCCTATATACCTATCTACTGCTTGGCTGAAAGTTGTTACCCCTGTATGCCTATCTAAGGAGCTCTGGTAGTGTAGTGGTTACGAATTGGGCTGTGAACCGCAAGGTCAACAGTTCGAAACTACCAGCTGTTCCGCGGGAGAAAGATGAGGTGTTCTGCTCCTGTAAAGATTACAGACTTGGAAACCCTGTACAGGGTCGCTATGAGTTGGAACCGACTCCATGGCACATAACAACAACAATATGCCTATCTACTGCTTGGCTGAAAGAGGGTGAGTTCCTTTCCAGACCTGAAGGGTGGTTGAGGGCATAGTCTCAGGTCCCTCCAGTCTCTTTCTGACTGGTAAGCCTGGACTTTTTTTTTTTTAATAAATTTGAATTTTGTTCCACATATTATGCCACTTTATTCAGGACTTTCTAATGTGAGCCTGTTCAGGGCAGTTGATGGTACCATCTAGCTGGGCACCATCTAGTCAGGGATGGGGAATGGTCAGCCCACGGGCCATATAAGGCCCCTGAAATAATTTTGTCTGGCCCTGCCAAGGCAACCTCAGCTCCAGCCATCACATTAGGGATAAGTTAATTAAATGTTTGACAAAACATAGCAGGCTGCTAATTTTTAAATTCATAATTTTGTATGGCCCATAAATGATGTGATAAATTTTGTCAGAAAAAAGGTTCCCTTCTCCTGATTCTAGCTCTTCTGGTCTCAGGTTCATGGATACTGACGTTTACATATTCTACTAGTCAGTAGGACAAGTTGATGCCAAGAAATCTTCAATTCTCATCACTGTTCTTTCTTCTGAACATGGAGACATCAATATTTGTTCCTTAGATGGCTGCTCATGAGCTCTTAATATCCCAGACACTAATCACCAAAGTAGGATGTAGAACATTGTCTCTTTGTACTGCATTTTGCCAACTGACCATGATGTCCCCTGAAGTTATGGTTTTGAGGCCCAAGGCTCAGCTACTTATTGCCTTAAGATGTTTAACAATATCTACTCTTCATCATTTTGTATGCTGTATGTACCACCACATTCACAGTGGTACTTTCAGGATAGGTAAATACTCATGTACTAATATCCTCTTTTACACGCTTGTATATCTGTAGGATATATAAGTGTATACATGAATACACATATACAAATACATATACACATATATGCATACATACATACTCCTACATACACATATGCACACATTCTACTCTTCTTCCCATAATCATTCAGCATGTGTCTCTGTTTATGTACCTAACTAGTCACAGTGTTGTTATTCCAAGGTTGTATATATGTCACTATTTACCTCTACCCCCTTTAGCCCTTGTATACGCTCCTCTGTCTTCACCGGTCTTCATTGTACTTCTGCTAACCTCCCTCGTCTTGTATATCGCCCTTCACTTTCTTATATGTTGCCCTCCCCATCACTCAAGTGAACAAGTATCTACCCTATAACCAGCGAACTACTCTCCTTTCCCTCCAACCCCTGGAAACCATCAAAGAATGTCTCATTTTTTTCTTCCAAATTCATATATTTGTGGGATATAAAAATATATATATGTCTCATTCTTCCTCCTTTATCCATTCAACCTATGTCTCTTCTCAATCCATGTATCTATGTTCAGAACACGGTTATTCATGTGTTTTATATATATATATATATATATATATCACTATTTATCTATCCCCTTTAGCCCATGCATGAGTTTTACTTTTTAAAGCAAAGAATATTTATTACTAATAATAACCATGGTTTAAAATAAATAATGACTTAGAATATGTAGACACTGAGCTGTTGGAGAGAAAGTAGATTGAAGAGTAGAATCAAGTGCCTTGAGCCAACAGAAATTTATTGGCTTTATGTTTTAGTTTATGGATGCATTTTTTCAATATTAGAATATGAAATTTAAAAAATTAAAAATATCCCTAAAAGATTAAATGATCACTACTGTGACTTTTAAAAAGAATTGTTCACAATGTCAAATAGAATTTGAATGCATGATCATTTCATGTTTTCTTTTCATCTTTCTTTCTTCATGTACTCCAGTATAAACAAAAAAGAAGAAAAGATGAAATGATAACAATATCAAAGTCAGTCATTTATACAGATGTAGTTGATCTCTTTGGTCTTGAATATATGCCAATATACGTTGGCCAGTTTTACAGGCAATCTATGCCATGTGCACAAATAAAAGAAGCAACATTAGGTTAGATACCAGCTCTGGTAAACACATTTTTGTATTACAGCAGCCTAATTAATATGAACAAAAGCAATTTCTACAAGTATGGGGTTTGTTTATACAGTTAAGGAAACATGAATGACATAGAAAACTAAAAATGATAGCTTTAATATTGAAAAGTGAATATGAGTAAAGGCCAGAATGGAAGGCTATTTGTTATCATGTCCATACCTTAAACATAGACTAAACAAATTTCCTAAAATGGAAAACCCAAAAATACTTGGAAGATTTGCTTAGATGATACAAAATACCCCTGAAAGTCTTCTCTTTATCTTTTAGTTCCTCACACTGAAACTTTAAAAGACAATGTCTACAGAGTTAAGAGAGATGTACCTTAAATGCAGAACGCATATCTATAAATCCTTATTGGATGCTCAAATAGTTATAGAGAAAGAAAAAATAGTCGATTACAATAGATACTTCAATTAGCAAGGGTTGAAGGCTAAGTTGCCATCAAGGAACCAACTTACATTAATAAGTTCAACCTCCCAGATTTTTTTCAACAGGTCCATTGATGTGTAGCCATTAATTAGAAAGGCTTTGGTGTAGTCGCCCAGTTCAATGGAATCCAGCCACTCAGCCACAGAGGTGGGATGGTAGCCATCATGACCAATGGGTCTCATCTGTAACCAAGAAAATCACATTAGGATTCATTTAAACGGCTTGCTTTTTGTTTCAACAATAGGATTCATCTTGCCACTTGGGAATTTATCTCAAATTAAGCAGCACATCTTTCTGGATATGGGAATAAGGAAAAACAAAATACATTATGCATGATTCTAAATCATTAATACTTTTCATGGTAAATTAATTTTCAAAAAATACAGTAGAAAATGTGTAATTTAGCTGCTAAATCAACCCCATATTTGAGAGAACTAAATATGTCAAACTTCTGCTATAGGTATTATTGACATTCTGGTGGATGGATTAACTGATGATAGTTGACAGTATTAAGATATAAGAAACTGTACTCTCAATATGCAGGTGGAGTCCTGGTGTGGTGCTGTGGGTTAATGCACCAGACTATAAAGCCATTTGAATTGTCAGGCCGGCGGTTCAAGCTCACTAGCTGCTCCTCGGAAACCCCATGCAGGGTTGCTATGGGTTGGAATTGACTGGCCTGTACTTAACACTAGCAACAAATCTCATACACACAAGATCAAACCATGTGAAAATACTGCATGACTTGAACATTCAAAAGGAATCCATGCTTATGCAAAACATGTATTATGGGTAGTGCAAACATGCTGGAGAAACAGACTGCTGTTTGAAACCAATAAATAAGAAACTTTGGGGTATTTGAAGACCATGTGTTCTGCATAGACTTTACAGTATGCTAGACATGAATACAGAACATGCTGGCAGACAATCTCCTGCTTGGTGTCAGCTATATACAGAATATTTTTTTTAATAATTTTTTTTTTTTAATTTTAGGAGAACAAAGAAGTGTGACAGCAACATACTGACTCTGAGTTTAAATTAGAGTGTGAAAGTAATTTAAGCAAGAGAAACTTCTGTATTTCAAGTTTTATATGGATTATCCAGTCTTTGAGCTTTTATTTAAAATTTTAGTTGGATTTACAGAGCTTGGTTTTTAAAGTGACTCACTTCTCAAATGTGTCCTGCTTTGCATGCTATGTCCCCTAGTGTCATCATTTACTGAATAAGGACAGCTGACTCCTCCTCGACCTGCTGCAATCCTTCAGTGAAGTTCGTGATGCAAACAGCAACAAGGGGCAAACAGCAACAGAGATATTCCTCTTAGGTCACATTCAAGGAGATCGATATTGATGGAAATCTATAGGAGTCTGATTTGTGAGCAGAGAAATTTGTGGGCCATCAGGGATACAGATGCTAATCTTCAACATATGAGGGTTTCTGTCACTATGCAGTGTCTCAATTTTGAGATTCTCCTTACTCTTCAATTTTTAAGTTCCTTTTTTCTCCTTTCGTCTTTCCTGTAGGTCTACCCCCGGTCTAATTTCCATTTTGATGTTTAAATATCCTCTATTGTAAAGTTACATTACAATCATTATTAGAATCTGAACTGTATTTATTGTAGATATTCTTGGTAAATAAACTTTGCGAAATAAACGTGGAAGATTAGTCAGGGGGCTCATAGTCATGCTACCTAGAATGTACTTTCTAAAGGATAGATTCTTTAGGGCAATCCCATATGGCTTTTCCATGTATTGAAAGTATTTGATAGTGCTGCCTACACACACAAACACACAAAAAGGAAAACTCCCTCACTCCAGGTCCTTCTGACCCACCATGATATGATGCATATTTTCTACGGTATTTGTATATTCTTTTCTTCTGAGCCCCACTTGATTAAATCAAGCATGGTCCATCCATTGCTGTTGTTTTTAAGTGCCATTGAGTTGGTTCCAACCCATAGCGGCCCTGCATAGGGTTTCCAAGGAGCAGCTGATGAGTTTGAACTGCTGACCTCGTGGTTCAAACCAATTTGCAGTCCAGAGCATTAACCCACAGCAGCATTCCCAACCAGAAGTCTATCAAAAAGATGAGCTCTATACATATGAATGGACCTTGAAAACATGCAGTGTGAAATAAGTCAGACACAAAAGGACGTGTAGGATTTCATTTATATACAATAGGCAAATATATCAAGACAAAACTTCGTAGTCGTTACCAGGGATGGAGGAGGTGGAGGGTGAAAAGGGGAATTCTTGCTTAGGTGCATTGAGTTTATGTTACTGGTGATGGCATAATTGAGAAAAAGGATACAGATAATAGTTGTACAATGTGAAAAATCGAATCATTATCTCTTACATGTAAAAATGGTGAAACTGTCATATGTTTTATTATATATGCTGTTGTTGTTATGTGCCGTGGAGTCGGTTCTGACACCCACAGGGACCCCATAGAGGGTTTCCGAGGCTTTAAATCTTTACTGGAGCAGAAAGCCTTATCTTTCTCCTGAGGAACAGCTGGTAGTTTTGAACTGCTGACCATGAGGTAAGCAGCCCGATTCGTAACCACTACACTACCAGAGTTCCTTTTTATTTCATATATATATATATACGTGTGTGCACGCATGTGTATGTATGTATATATATAAAGAGCTCCTTTTTGAATCTGAAGCTACTGAGGATCTTCGCGTGAAAGGGCTGCCAGAGAGTGATGCCAATGGGAACAAAGGGAAAGAGAGAAAAATGGGCCCTAATGACACTGTCTGAAGCTCTTCATCCTGTTGTACTTGAAACACGATACTCCTGGGATTTACAGTAACGCGAGCAACTAGATTTCTTTCTTTCTTTTTCATAAGTCAAGATGATGTAGGCTTTTTGCCACTCTCAACTCAAAGTGTTAGTTCTGACTACAAGAAAAGTTATTGGTGTATTTCCCCCGAAATATACTACAGAATGACTTTGAGTATAATGGCACACCCTATAAGACACTTGAACTAAAGAAGTTATATAAGTAAAATGTTAATAAATGGAGAAGTGAAGTCCAGCTGGACTTTAGTCCTGTTTACACTGATTGACCCATTTTAGCTAATTATTACATGTTTATTCATACCACACTTAATTTAGTGTTTATTACATAGGACCTAAAAATCTAGATGACAACTCTGGATTTGCAAAGGGAAACTTTGTAGCATTCATATAAAACCAGGTGCTATGGATGAGCAAAATTGGAACTAGGACCTAACGCTGAGGTTCAAGATGTATTACTACCTTCATATTAACTAGAAAGTTACAAAAATATTGAGGCTAACTGCATTCTCCAAGACTTATTACAAAGTAGCTGAACCAACTCTGCTGCCCTAAAAATCACCTCAGCTCTAGGAAATGTTTTTGCCCCCACTGACATAAAAAAATGATTGGAGAAATTGAAAGATGTACGGAAGGGAGAATCTTTGCAGTTGAGATTAACAGCCTGGCAGGAAAAGTCTTATTATTAGCTCACTCAAGAAGCTGACTACCCTAGCAGCACCCACTGGGGACAGGCTTAGGGAGTTGTGATGACTTCTGTTTGGAGTAGAGCAAGACGTTCAGACCAGAAAATTATGCTGGGGTTCTCTCAGTATCCCTAAGCACGGACACATCACTTACTTGAGAGATCAAGGAGTGACCACCTACAACACAAGTTACTGATGCCCTGTTGTTGTGGACTGAATTGTCTCCTCAAAATGTGTGCTGTAAATCTCCATATCTAACTATAATGCCATTTGAGAGTGGGTTTTCTTTGTCTATTAATGAGATGGGATTAGTAGGATTAGATAGAGGTTTGCTAGCTCAATGTCTTTTGAGATAGAAAAGAGATGAAACAATCAAATAAGAGAAGAAGAGATGGAGGAAGAGTGATGCCAGGCTACATGAAAACCACTCAGAAGAAGATCAGAAGAAACAAGGCCATCCCTCCAAAGTCACCACAGAAAGAAAACCTTCACCTAGAGCAGGTGTCTTGAATTTGGACTTCTATCTTCCTAAACTGTGAGAAAATAGATTTCTGTTCGTTAAAGCCATTTACTTGTGGTATGTTTGCTATAGGACCACCAGATAATGAAGACACCAGTGTTAGCCAAAGCATCAGGGATACCTATCAGAAGACTGCCGTGCAAACCTAATCAAGTAGAAAGACATTTGTCTCTCCCCCACCTCACCCAATGGCTTCTTTTTGCCCTGACACCTGGGGATTTACAATCAGAGAAGAGAATGTTGTAAGTCCCTTGGTGGTGAGCCTAAACTTGAAAGAGTGAAAGAAATAAAACTATAGATTTAAAGTGGATTGGAAGTGAGTTTTCATATTGTAACGACTGTAACATTAAGAAACAGGAAGAAGGGTGAGTTAAGTTTTGCTGAAAGCAGTGATTAGACAATCTGTATCTCATTGAATGTTGACTGCTCAGTAATCTGGTTATTTCTGTAAGAAATTATCTGAGAAAATGCTTAAGAAAGTGAGAGGGAAGGAAAGATTTGGTGGGAGGATAAGAGATTGAACAGAGTAGACAACAAAGGGGAAGAGACCCTGGAAATGAGTATGCTGATGTGTGCAGGAGTGATCTGAATTCATCTGCTCATTCAGTAAATAGATCATCAGTGTCAACTCTAATGGCTATTGAAGAAATAGCAGAGAACAAAATCATCCCTCCCCTTGTAGAAATTATAACTATCAATTAAAAATATGCAAACAGATGATCAATAAATTATGAAGGCTCTATAGACCTGAGGAGAAGAAACCATTAGCTCTAAATGAAGTTACAAAATTAACTTGACACATATTTAATGATATGCACAGTGGTTACCGTGCTGCGACAATAATTTCTTCCCAGGCAATTCTCCCATCTGTTCCTTCATTTCTATTCCTACTGCCACTATCCCGCTTAGGTTCTTGTTTGCTCTTCCAAAAAAGAATGCAATCGCCTTCCATGTTAGTCCAACTTACGTTCCACTGCTACATCGATCTTGTTAAAACCCAGGCTCTTGTTACACCAAACCTGTAGTATCTCCTTCTTGATAAGAGGCAACATGCTCCATTCCAGCATTCAAGGGCAATTGAGAGGAACAGCAAATTATCTTTTTAACTTTACACTCCACTGTGGGTTAATGCGCCAGACTGCAAAGCCTTTTGAACTGCAAGGTCGGCAGTTCAA